ACGGAAGGAGCGGACGATCGGGGCAGGACAGGGGTAATGTTGGGATAAGATCTTTATCGTTTTGGAAGCCATTAAGAAAAAAATGCTCTTGTTTTTTCCTGTTTATTTTGTGTTTAAATGCTAAAAAAAAAAAAACATATTTAGGTGTAATTTTGGGGGTCGGGAACCAATTAATTGGTTTTCCATTATTTCTTATGGGAAAAATTCGATCAGAACTCGAACTTTTTAGGATTCGATCCGGAGTTCGAGAACCGAGGTACCACTGTATTTAATCTGATACATATATAGACACTAAGGGTGCAACAGTACACAAAAATCATGGTTCAGTAAGTACCTTGGGTTTGAAGTCGCGATTCGGTATGATTTTGGTACAGCGGGGGTAAAAGAAACAAAACATAAATTGCTTCTTTTTTTTCTATATTAAACTGTGGTTTACTGAACAAAGTATGACTGTCTTAAATAAAAAGTCTCTGTCAATACTGCTGCAACCTGCTAATGAAAAACTAAAATTTACTTAAAAGTACATCAAAATAAATATTCTCTCAAGTAAATAAAAATGAAATAAATATCAATTAAGGTGCACATTTAGAAAATTAATAGTACCGCAACTGTACTTCATTCACATTAGCAGCTTTCAACTTCATATTGAAACTGTACAACACAAATGCTGTCTCAAAAAATACAAAGCACAACAAAATAAATATCCATTATGGTGCAGCATTTAAAAAAATACCTTGGCTTTACTTGTATTCACATTAACAACTTCCAGCTCCACATTACGACGTACATGCACATGTGTAGTGACGGCGCTTCATCCGCCCCTTTCCTAGTGTTGCTTGAGGGAAACACACAAAGGTTCCACATTTGCTGCATTCATGTGGTACATATGCGTACGAAACCGAAAAATTTCCATACGAATGCATGTACCATTACACTCCTAATATCCAGCCAATAAATAAATAAACAGCAACAAAACTATTACTATAACTATTAATAAAGGATCATCATGTATTTAAATTGCCAATGGTGTCAAATGCTAGCCACAATCAAGTCAAATGATTTGCAAATATTTTCAGTTGCAAACAATCAGAAAAAATATATAGACTATAACTGCCCAACTGATTCACCTTGACAATTCAGCAACTGGGGACCGCAGTATAACTTCAAGGACCACTTGTGTCAGACAGACTATATAACAAGTGATGTGCATTTGGCAACCAACCAAAGGAGACATTGCCAGTGAGAGAACTGCATCATGCATTATTTATTTTTATATATAAAGCAAAACTTGAACATAATAAAAATGGTGGCTATACATAGGCAATTAGGGCCAAAACAAATATCCCGCTAAGTGTGCACAAAATATCTGCCATTGTCTGCTGGGTACAAAGATTTATTTATATCATCTTGAGCTGCCATGGCAGCAGATGAAAACCTTAATGTTTGCCTGTGCGACATTTCTTTGTGCTCTGCAGAATATATGCAGTTTCTAGGCCTCAGAAAAACACAAAGCCCAGTGTTAATAAAGCCCTCCAATTAAAGCCAGCTCATTTCTGCCAAGCACTGGGTCTCCTGTGTACTTGCCAAGCTTTTAATCTGTTGCTCCCTAAGAGTAATGAGAATCTGCCTATGATTGATTCCATGAAAGACTGTTGAGAATGAAGGGTATACAAAAACCCCAGATCCTTCATATTTCAGAGGGTCCCGCCAATCCTTGGTGAAATCGCCAGCCTCTCAAAAACATGGGTTTGAGGTTTACTGAGCTCAATCACCCTCCTAAACAGCCATAGGCATTCTAATGAATGTATTATTTTATCTTGGAGCATAATTTATTACATGGAAACTTCACTGTGATGATAACAGCGTTTAATAATAGTGCTAATCAAGAGTGTTTAATAACAGTGCTAATTAACAGAGATGAATGGTGTAACGGTGTGCTTGCTACGGAACAATTAATCAAACTCCTTTTGATTACAGACTAAATCTGTGCACTGGACACAATTTCACTTAATTGCAGCATTTTTCACCAAAAGAAAATTTATAAACAATTATTTTAACAAAGCATTATGATCCATGAATGTGATTTCACAGCTCTAGTATCTTGATACAAACATTTTACACTTGGGACATAAAAGATATGAAGTGATCAGTTTTGTAAAACCGAGAGAAAAAATTCACCAGACGGCCATCACACTTCACAGTGCTTAGAGAATTCCTTTTGGATGAAACTGACCTTCTTTGAGGGCTTTATCCACATTGTGTGATATCACAGCTCTCCGTGTTGGCACAGGCTCTGACAGCTGCATGGTAAGACGTCTCTGGACATTGGTGAAAACATAAAAAAAACACACAAGTATATTTCCTGGTTTAGTGGTCAACACACAATATTTCACAAAACATTTTGTGAAAGCTATAAAAACACATTATATTAATACAGGACTGTTTTCCCCTTTTGGGGACTTCTGAGGCTCTTAGCTGACAAGTACAATTAAAATTAATAACAACTCCAAGGTCATACTCCCAAGAAAAGGGGAAATCCATCCATCTCTGACACAAAAGTCCCCGAGAAAGCAAAACCCTAAGATACACCTCTAATACCAAAAAGAGCAGCACTGACCCATACCACTGCGACCACTGCATGAACCTGAGTTTGTCAATCTTCCTTTCTAACAGCAAATGCATAGCCTTGCATTTTCCCAACACACTGTGTCATGTATATACAGTTGACGTGCAGAAGGTTGAACTCCTTCTTTTAGGTTTTTCTTTAATTTAATTTTATTTTGTGTTTTAAATGTGATTTTAATGTATTTTATTTAAATGTGCTCTTCTGCCATTGTAAAGCACTTTGAATTGCATTGTGTCTGAATAGTGCTATATAAATAAACTGGCTTTGCCTTGCTTAGAGAGTACATTGTGCAGCAGTTAACCACACGATGGCACGGTGTGAGGGAATGCCAGGAAGGAGTCCACCGTCTGCCCTTGTGAATTTAAACAGATAAAATACCACAAGCTGTAAAACTAAAGGTAGCCTTGTTGAATCTCCAATGATAGAGTATTTCTCCTAGAGACCCTACGCTAAATAAGGGGTAGGAAGTCAGATGGATCCCAAGCTTGTTTGCAAAACAAATAAGGCCTACAGTACAAGGCAAAAATCTTCTGCAATAAATAGGTCATGTTGCTACATAGTGCATTTTTTAAGAGTGCCATCAATATCAAGCTTATTGCAACAAATCCCTCTCAGGAAACCACGTAAGGGCACAAATGAGCTAAAATTGCTTTCAGATTAAAGTTAAAGTGCATTTTGAAACATGTAATGTAAAATGTTAATTATATATTCAGTTATAATATGAAGTTGAACTGTTTTCTTTTTTGCAAAATGGATGCAAAGATGACACTTTTAATACATACAGCAGCATCTGCATTTCAAGGTAGGCATGTATGTGCAACAAAGATCATGTGGGATGAAGTGAGAAGTTGACAGCAGATAAATAAAGCAACTGATAACAAGAAACCACAAACTACCAACAAAACCAAAGAAGGAGGTAGTGACACTTACCATTAATTTACTTAATAAGTCCAACAAGTGCGTCGAGTGACTCTTCCAAGTGTCAAAGGTGTTAATTTTCGGAGGGCTGCTCTTGGCCAAGAACCAGACGCCCCCCGCGAATAAACACAGCAGTGCGAATGACACATAAACGAAAAGCTTGAGAAAAAGAGATGTCACTGTCAGCCCCCCATCTATAAACTGGAAAAGTATAGCTATAACCAGTCCGGAGCAGATGGGGGGTAAGATGCGTCCGCAAGAGCAGAGGGGAGCGCTGCTGGGCATCGAGTCACCGGCACCGCCGCTGCTTCTGCTGCCGTCAAGATGCATTCTTTTTTTAAGGACATTTCCTCAAGACCGACACCAAGACAGCTTTACCCTCCTTTTTCGGTCTTAAGTGACGACTTTAGAATATCTGCGATGAAAACAACGTTAATTGATTAAAACGGCCGACTCTAATCCCGGTGACACAGTTCAGTTTCCCTCCCGGACCTGAGTTGCTGCGCTGCCTCGTGCCTCTTTAGCACGCAAAGACAGATTTATTCATTTATTTGTGATGCTTCAGTTGCGCAATTTCGTGCAGCCGGCGAATACCTGGTCAGCCTTTACCCTTGGGAATGAGCGAGCAAATCTTCTAAAGTAAACGCGAAGTGGCAAGATATTATGCAATTCGCAATACTATCCTTAGTACTATTCCCAATTCCTATTTGCTATTCTTCTGTACGGCACTCCAAATCATACAGATAATTCGTCATTCTTGATAAAAAACCATATCTAGTTTTCGTTTTATTTTCTGGTCGTTAACCATCAACCTAGTATAATAAACAACTATCCAATCGCTATCTTTTATGTTATTTAAAATGTATTATATGTCGCTAGTTCGACATCTAACTAAAGTATTCGCATTCTGCTTTGCAGTTTAGCTAATTTAAAAAACATCATGCATCTAACTAGACCGTTCTCCAGCGTAGCCCAGCAGCGGTGTTGACTAGAAGCGCGTTCGGCAATCTTCGGCCTGGCTCGGAGCAGCTCGCCCCCTCATTCCGGAGTTTCCTGTCCGACTCCCAGCCAAAGGGGACCGAGCTCACCTCCGTGCACGTGAAAGCCGTCGGCCAATCAGCGCTCGCAGCGTGATCGATGTTTCTACGCGTGTTTTCGCGTCAGCGTACTCGCGAGCGCGGTGAGCCGCAAAACTGAGTCGGCCTCCGATCCGGTAGGCGGTGCTATACTTAGTTAGTCTTGATTAAAGACAGCAGGACTGTAAAAAGAAAACAAGCAATCTGTATTTTATATTTTGTATAGCGATAAAGCTACCTTTGGTTTCTGATAATTTAACTAAAAACACCAGTTTTACATTAATTAATACTGGGGCGGGCATGTTTAAAGTGTTGACAGGTCAACTGCCTGCCTAATGGAACGGTATCGCCCTGGATTTTTTTTGCGCCAGTCCTGTTTCTGTCTGACGTAGAGAGTTCAAATTTATTCGCGGTAAACAGAGTGAGTTCGTTGCAGTTCTTGGCCAGGTGGGTTATTAGTAATTAGATTGACATATAGAGATGCAATTTCTCTGTGTATTCTGTAAAGGTTCGGGTGAAAAGCGTAACACTATACAGTCAAGCAGACCTACGAGCAAAAAAAAATCCAGCTTTTTCTAACGTCTTGCCGAGGTCGCTTCGGCAGTTTGTATCAGTATGACCGTTTCGAGCTACCTGATCGTGCATTGGTACTGACAGCTTGATAGAGCAATTTAAGTAAAAAAAAAAAAACCTTTTTACAAAGTGTATTGTATCATTTCGTTGTGCTTTACGATTAAGACGCGTTTGTTTTCTCTACTCGCAGGGTACAAGACTAATGTGACAGCTAAACATACAGAATGAGGTATGTTTTTCGTTTCGATCATTTGTATATCTAAATTAAATTACGTTGAAGTATGTCGCTTTTAGAGTTTGACTGTTTTCCATCTTCAGCTCAAAAAGCCGAGTTGGAGCCGTACTGAAGAGCGTTCGCCAGGAACTGAAGGTCAGGCCGTTTCTCTGTTAAATAAGAAAGCAATCTAATGCTATGTGTATCTTTGGAGACTCGTGTTGTATCTTAAATTTGGCGAAATTGTGTTATTCGACTAGCATTAAGAAGCGGTTAATGTAGGTAGTCCATGTGGAAATCAGTTTTCCGTTATAGCATTATAGTGATTGCAAGCTTCAGCTGCTCAACAAAGAAACGACTTGAATCAAGCAATGCTTCATTATTATTTCATTATTATTTGCTTCAGATAGCATTCAGCTATAGATAAAGATGTCGCGTCAGCTATACTGTACGCAGACTAATGTGTTCAAGAAATGTACATTAAATCATTACGTTATTCAGCTTATAAGTAAATTTATAAACTATTGAAGATGCGTTGACTGCTAACATCACACTAAAGAGTACAATATGCAATTTTATTCAAAGGTATTATATACTTTGTATTATCCCTTGATAACACACAGCATTGCTTTTAGAACATAAGTTTACTACCCTCTGTTACCATTTAACCCTGTTTTCTGTATCAGGATGATACAAAGAAAAGGAAAGTACTCTCACCCCCAAACATCTCCTCTATCGAGAAGGCCAGCTTTTTAGATGACAATGATATTAGCTTCAGTGGTGAGTACTTTGGATTACATTTTATTTGCACATTGCTTTATAAAGAAGTTGTCAGACTTGACAAAGTCCCTGATGACTGCTGTAGGAAACCCGCTACACAGCACTGCTCTAGATGATGATCTCAGTCCCACCCAAAAGAAAATGACGAAACCATCGAAACCCTCTGTCAAGAGGAAGGCACCAAACGTCAACACTGACAAGTCTACAAAGACGACACCACAGAACAGGACTCTGAGAAAAAAGGCCTCTGCAGTCAAATCAAGGTAGAAGCTACATTGATTCAGATCATTGAAGTTTCCATGACCATTCCTCTGGAAATTAAATACACTCTACATGCCAGGTCCAAGACGACCAGTCTGAAGAGAAAGGTAACAACTGAGAAACGGAGAGAGTCTGAAGTTTCTGCATCATGTGACACACTTCCCGAAGAGCAGACCCTGGAAGAAGATGAATCTGTATGAGCATCTCTTGGATCTGCAAAGTGTTCCATCTATGGCTCTTTATACAGGGCCAGATCTTTCATTGTTGCATCCTCCCATGGTTCAAATATTCATTTCTTTCTGCACTCTTTGTTTTTGTTTGGGTCCGTACATCCCTAGCTGGTTTTTTCTTATTGCTGAAGTGATTTGCACTTAGCTAGCTCACAGTGGAAATGTATCTGTCCTTTTCTCAGGGTTCTGCATCCTCAGGACCAGCAATGGAGTCTGTCCGCAAAAGCCGGAGGAAAAGCACATCAAAGGCCACCACGCCTGCTGTCCAAAAGAAGATGGCACCTGCCGTTTCTGAAGACCATTCTCCATCCAGCCCAGAGGTTCGCCACAGACCTTTGCACTCTGAAATTTTAAGTTATTTACACAAATGGCCCGATATAAAAAAGTGATTGTGTTTCTATGGAAATTCAGCTTGGTCCTCAAATATACTGGGTATTTCAATTACATGCCATGAAAATTCAGATTGTTTTGTGTTAGAGAAACACTGCGGCAACTGCAAGACAGAACAGTGTGTCATCTTTGTCCTCTGAAGAGCTGAGTGATGAAGACCCCAACTGGGTGAGCGATGGCTAAAACAATTCTCAACCGCACATCTTTTTAAACATATTGGTTTGGTCCTCAAACAGCAGCTATGTTTTATTTACCAGGGTAATACAAACTTCATTTAAAAACTAAACAAACAAGAAAATGTGTTTTAGCCAAACCCCTAGATGTCTTAAGTCTTGATGCACAGTTACGTAGCAGCAATTAAACTTTACTGTTCACCGTTCCCTCAGCATGCACCAAAAGGTAAGAAGAATTACTTGCCAAACAACGTGGAAAGGAGGAGGGCCTCGTCTGGGTCTTCAACGGTCAGGAGAAAAGTGACGAGCAAGAAGAACATTCTTTTTGGACCTTCAGGTAGCAAGTGAATCATGGTTTTGATGTTATTAAATAATGGGATTCTAAGTACTGAACTAAGAACTATTTTTATATATAAATAAAAAATATTTAGTGTGCATTTGGAATGAGTTACTTGGTTTGCAGTGGTGGAGGAAGTACTGAAGCTTAGTACTTAAGTAAAAGTACAAATATCCTGCAAAATATGTACTCAAGTAAAAGTAGAAGTGCTACATCAACAATCTTACTTAAGTGAAAGTACTAAGTACTTTTAAATTTACCTTAAAGTATTTTTTTAAGTAAAAGTACTCACAAAATGGTTTGTCTCAACATCTGGGGTGTGCCTTTTTGTAAAAGAATAGTAGATACTGTATACTGACTTGCGCCTCTACCGATGTCATTGCTTTTAATAATTACAAGGAACTATACAGTATATGTGTATTGGAAAGTTTGGTGTGCTTATTGTGTGTGCGCTCTGCAATACTGTGTGTACCCTAACTTAGAATTATGTGGATAAGTTATCTACTAGGTATTACCCACTAATATACAATTAAGATAAACCATGTTGAATGGGTCCATGTTGAATGTCTTGTCTTCTTGAAATCAAGCCAGTCTACCAGCTCGTGCTGCTAATTGACGCGTTCTCTGCCATCATTGGAGCTAATAAAGCCACCTGATTGGTAGGAAATGGCAAACGATGCCAGAACGCAATAGGCTAACTATTTTTTCATGCAAGATTTTGAGGAAATTGTGTTCATAAAATGTAACGACTAACGGCATAAATTATAGAAATGTAGTGGAGTAGAAAGTACAGATAATTGCTGCAAAATGTAATGGACTAAAATAAAAAATATGCATTATTATTTTTACTTAAGTAAAGTACAGATACGTAAAAATGTACTTAAGTACAGTAGCGAAGTACAAATACTTTGTTACATTCCACCACTGTTGGTTTGTGTATCGACTCTTCAGGTGGTTCTCTCACAAAGAATTTTACTAGGTGTAATTTAGCTGAAGTGCAGTGGTTTTTCTAGTGGTTCCCTAATTGTTCTGCAGATGCCAACAAACCACCCAAGAAGGAGAAGAAGCGAGGCAGAGGAAATAAAAGGGGTCTCATTGACCTGGAGGTGGTGCTGATGGCCTTTCAAGATTTTGTGTCGAATCACATGTAAGTCATGGGAACAATATGGGTGTTTTGAAATCGGTAATGAAATTGTCATACATGCAGATTTATATTAAAAACAAATTCCAATCATAAATTGATCTGATGAATAATCACACTAAATGTTCATACCTTTTTTCATTCAGAAAAACTCTGGATTCTGGTACAGTCACAAAGGCTGTAAATGCCTTCTCAGAGTCCGTTGAAAATCAACTCACTCAATATGTAAGTGACGCCAGTTGCAGAGTAACGTAACAAATTCCTGCCTTGCTTACATACATTCACTTTAAAGATGCTGACTACATTGAGTATCAGTGGTTTAATTAGATTGGCCGTTTTATTAAATGTTATTCACACTGACTTTTTTTTAGATCTCAGAGATAAAGGGGTTAAACACCTTGAAGAAACAGAATGTGAAGGTAAAGTCTATATTTACAATGCTGTTGGACTTTGCCCTGTACCATCTGGCAAACTGTGAATAACAAACTAGCTGCCCCAGCAAATGGACTGTATGTGTTGGATTCCAGAGGGAAATACTGTTAATTTGCTTCAGCATTTCAGTCTGTTTGTTTCTGGGCATTTGGCCTGTGCTTGTATGCTACTAAACAACAACTGTTTATTAATATTTATTTTTTTGATCCCTCATTTTTAAAATAGAAACATTTGCATGATTAACAAACATAATGATATGGTCTGATTCTATACCAGGACTTAAGAATCAGTTTTTCATTCTTTTCATCCAGATCAATGGTACTATAAACCGGAAGACAGCCAAACTGGTAGAGGTGAAAAATGAACTCATAAAGTACGTGTCTATGGTCTAACATTTACTTTTATGCTATTTTATGCTTGACCTGACTAGACTGTCATGTGCTTCAGGTGAAGGGAAATGTTCCTCACTTATGTCACTCAGGTTTACATTCACACTATTTACCGGTGTGAAGAGCATTCTACTAAAATGAAACATGGCGGCTTCCCTCAGGAAAGAGATGGAGCTGAGGAAGCTGCAGAAGGAGCATTCCCAGCTGGAGGAGAGACTGACAGACATTAGGACCAGCACTGCCTTTCTGGCGGACATACAGGACCTACAGAAGAGCTACTTGGCATATAGGGAGGACCACCCAAATGAGGTGGAAGTGGTGAGGAAACCATGACTAGGGTTAGAGATTAACTATGCTATAGCTCAGCAATGACCTATAGTAGACTATAAATCTAGGGCTGTTGTCTTAATCGCATTTGTCTTTTTCAGTATGGCCCCTCCAGCCTCCCCGCCCTGCTCCTTGAAGCTCGCAGTGTGATGGGCGCAGAGCACCAGCTGAGCATTATCAACCACAAACTCCAGCAGGTTCTGGACCAGAGTAACCCTGTCACTATTGATTCTAATGAATAATGAACCCGTCAAATCTCAAGTGGGGCTCCTACCATATCGCTGGCACAAGGCTCTCCTTGAAACTGCTCGTCATCTGAAAGTAGTATGCCAAAGAGGAGATATGTTTAAGAAATTAATTTGTTATTGTGCGTACAATATTAACATTGGCATGCATAGCATAGGCTTTGAAACACTATGGATAGAATTAGGGCAGAAGAACTGGTTACTGACTTACCCTTTGTTTCTCGCTTTGTCTCTACTGTTAAGTAATCCAAATGACTAATGCCCTTCTACTGGAGGCGGGAAAGCCAGTGTGCAGGAGCAAACAGTTTAAGTGCTGTTCCAAATATCAGCCATGCTAATTGTCTCAAAACTGCTGAAGAAGCAAAACTGAGCAGCACCAAGGGGAAGCAGGAAATATTTAAATGTAAATAACTGAGTGTGTGCTGCTATTTAGCAAGTAATGTGTTGCCTTTTTTGTATATGAGAATAGAAATGTTAAGCTGGCATCTGATATTTTGTTGTCACTGTAATACTTTTTAGTTATGGTTCCGTCACCAAGATCAATGTTTAGTACAAATATATATGTAAAAAGCACCTCTAGCCTCCTTGGAACAGTGCTGCATCATTTCTTTCTTCTCTCCTGCCAGGTTCCTGTGCTGCCCCTACAGTCATTAAATAAATATGCACAACCAGTATTTCATTTAAGTAAATGAACATGCAAAGTAAAATATACGGTATGAGTTAAAATTACACTTGCTGGAAATGTTTTTCCCTCCTAATTAGCTATGCTTTGCCTCATATTTAAAATGCACAAAGTACCAAGGCACTGTTCAAGTCTCTAAATCTTAGATTCCTGAAAATAGCCACCATTGCTTTGACAATAATTTCACAATCGCAGTACATTTAGTTAAGATTCAGCAGAACCTTACCTGATGTTTTCTGAGCCCTGCCGCTGAAATTCTTTCTCCAGAAAGTTCTACTACAAATTTGAGGTGCATTTTGGGTTGTCTTGCTGATGAACTAAGGACTGCTGAAATGGCCATAATCCTACTGGGATGACATACCTTTGAAATATAACCATGCTGCATGAAATTGGCTTGGATTTTGAAACCCACTCCGGCACCAACAAAGGCAATCCCAGCCCATGACATATCCATGTTTTTTAATGGGACCTTATGTGCTCACTTCAGCAATATACAGAAATCAGACCAAAATACAGTATTTCAAATTTTTTTAATTCATTGTTTTATTATACCAACCTCCACTCCTAAACTTATCACTTAGTGCTTTTTGGGCCGAAAAAGTATCTTCATCCTACTCTGCACTCGGCAACAATTCCTCATCTAGGCCTGCTTCCTCTTCACTGATCTTCTCTCTGGACAGTTGATGTTGAAACATCTGCACTTCTAGCTGGTTTTGCAGAATTGTGACTCGAGTGGGATTAGCTAGCCTGACCTTTGGCATTGATGAGTGGCCCTTTGTTCAAGCTGTTTGGCCTAGACTTGCTCTTGGCAATAGCAGTTACATGTCCTTGCAAAGTTCTTGTGATTCATCTTAAAGATTGACTTGCATTTCATTATTATTAGATTTTTGCCATTTTCTCAACTTGTATTCAGGTATAATGTGAACTTGTAAAGTAAACTTTGTCATCTCAGGTATATACATGTATACAGGGAGACAATGTGGCTCCAGTTTATACAGTATACAATAATAAAGGCACATACAAATATAAAGAAACTTGTAAATAATTGTAATAAAGACTCTAAACAAGAATTTAAGAAAAATTTTCAATTAAGTACTGAGGATATTTTAACGTTCAGAAGTGGAGAGCAAATAGAAGCATAATGCAGTGTAATTATGTGTCATTTTGTGTGCATACGGTCAGTAGCATTTCAATATAATATAGTCGTGCAAATTCAGCTTGTACTTATGGCTATCGTGACGTTTCACCTGTGTAATAATGTCTAAAGGCTAATAAGGTCACATGCTAGCTAACGAAGAACACCTGTACTTGTACTCAAAGCTTAAATGTATTATAGGTGCTGAATAGGTGGAGGAGGTGTGTGTTTGTGTTGGTATTTTTTTACAGGTCAGTTCATGTGTGTTATGTAGTAACTGCATTGATTCCTACTGTAAATTCAGGGGAATCCAGCAAACCTATCTTATCATAAGGTGAATAAATGAAGCCTGTAAAAGTGAGACAAACTGGAAAGGTTGTGGAAAAAAACAACCCTGGCATTAGAAAGAAAATAATATTAAGCGAGTTACATAATATGGGTATAGGTGTATCATACTGAGAATTCTCAAACAATGCATGCATTCTTAGCTATGTGTGGGGAAATATGATACAAAAAATATTGATTTTTGGGATTTGCATCAATACTGAAAAATACGGGCTATCTTCTAGGGGAATATAAGAAAATAGTCAGTCGTCTCATGAAATACACATTAACATGGGTTTCTCTTCCTAAACTGGACAATGTCTTCAGGTAGTAGCGACAGACACTTCTGGAAATACTCTTACCTGTCATGTGGTTCTGTAAGAATTGTGGTCAATACCTAGGGCAATATATTGTGCTTTTTTAAGTATATGGTGCTTGTTAGAATTTTTGTTTTTTACATAAGACTCCTTTGTCTTATTAATATGTAACCTGTAAATAGTAAGGAATGGACGGCTCCCATCTTGCACAGTAGTAGAGCAGAAAAACATCCACTTCCCTTTTCCCTCATTTAAACAATGCGTCATGCTAAGTTTTGAAAAAAACTTATGGCAAGAAGCATGTTTTTCTGTCACGCTACAAATGTTTTTCCACGCAAAAAATAATGACAAAATTGTATTTATTTTCCAACGTTTGCGCCAGGGGTCGCTAAATGACAATACAAGTATAAATATTTTAACAAGTAATGTAACATTTTGTAAAAAAAATAAAAAAAGAATAACATTGAAACCTTGGAGAAAAATAGGAACATTCTTTATGTCCGATACACTGGTTTTCCGACGAGTATCGAGTATGTGGAATCAAAGGTGTCTTTTTATGCCTTTTATATATATAATATTTGTGTATATAAAAATGAATGTATCTACGTATAATATATAAATAGCTGTATAATATATAATGTATATATATAATAGCTATATACATATTTTGTCACGCTTCTCCGACAGCCACCGGGTAGCTTTGCCAACCGAAACTATGCGCTCCAAAATACAAGGAAATGAAAACGAAATCAATTTCCAAAGAAATGATGAAAGCAGAAGTGAGGACCAATAATATAATGTAGCAGACTTCCGCGATCTCCGGACCCGTGCAAACGCCCTCTAGGTTTGTGTTGACGAGAGGCAAACGGATCTCGGGCGGGGATTTCCACTCCGCACATTGTGGTTATTCTCTTCACTTGTTTTGCTTTCGATCTGGACGTCGATATAGGCCAAATCTGTCATTATTATTTATTACTCAAGGGACTTCGGCACCAAACATTTAACTTTTAAGCAGTTGCAAGAGGCTCGTCTCAATTGAAAACCGAACGGCGTACTACAGGTAATCGTTATTCCGCATATCTTCATTAAATGGTTATACTAAATGTAAAATGTAACAGAATTAAGAAAAAACATGTAGTAGTACTCTAAAAGGAAATTGAAATTGCTCTTTTTATTTGCTGCCAGTATGTTAAATGCGTGATTTATTTCGTGTTAGTTTAAATATGAATATATGACAAAAAATACATTCGGTACTGTCTAAAATGTCTGAAGTATTAAATGGCAACCAGCGGGCTTACTTTGTGTGGTATATCAGCTACTCACCGTTTTATGAAGCTAATTAAAGCTGATATTTAAGTAAATGTTCGTCAATAACATGCGATTTTGCAAGTGTTCTGAGAATTATTTGCATGTTATTAATAATTATTTATGTTAAGAGGTACGTGGTAAATGATTATGCGTTAGTCCTAACGATTGTAAGTTACTGCATAGTTAACTACGAAAAACCAAAATATGACACAGTCCATGCAGATCATAAGCGAATACATGTTCTGCAGAGTTTTCCATGGAAAACGGTCCTGTGCGGATGACATGTGTAGCTTAGCAACTGTTTGCGTTAGTGCATTAAACCTGCTTTGCTATTGGTCGGTTTTTCCTCGAGCCCCACGGCCCAGGCCTTGTAAGTCGTGTTCAGACCAACCGCGAGGCTCTCGGGCGACCGCGGGCCAATGAGAAACTTCGGCAAAGAAGTGGGCGGGATACCGTGCGGCGGACGAGGAAGCGAATTCTAGCCGAGACAAAGCAGCGCCTTCCGTGCTTCCTGTGCGCTGGTCTGTAGTTTCATAGAAAGGTAGTAGCAGTTAGCTCTTAATTGTTTCCATGTCACAGCTTAACGCGACCATTTCATCATTCAGTAACATAGGTTACTAACCAAGAACATAGAGTTGCATTCGTTTCCAGTGTTAATACCCTTTAAAATATTAAATTATACGTTATAAATTTTAAGTATCTGACCATCTCCTAGAAATATACCCTGATCAAATGGTTGACAATCTCATATAATAATAATAATACTACTACTACTACTAATAATAATAATATAGTAAAATGAACGACGTGTGGACTTTGCATGTTCTCCCCATGTCATTATGGTTTTTACCTCAGGGTACTCCAGTCCCCACCACAGTTTAAAAAATAACATTCTGCGGTTACCAAATTGCCTGTAGGTGTGAATGGTGTGTGAGTGTGCCATGCAATGCGTTGGTGCCCCAACCTTGGGTTGTTCCCCGCCTTGCACCTGTAGCTTTCAGGGTAGGCAGACCCCCCGCCACCCTGAGTAGGACAAGCAGTTGCAGAAAATGGATGGGTGGATATTTGCATATTACTATAATGTGTGTATCAGACGAAACTTGTAGGACTTTTGTACAACAAAGTCACAGAAAAGGCTTCGAATTGTAGTACCCTGACATGGGCATATTTATAAGAGGTAATTCAAAGCTGTAGTTTCCCCTATGTTGAATTTGGTAATTAGTACTGAATCAGTTTCACAACTGATTCAACATTTGTAGCCTCTTTAAGACTTTGGGCAATCCACGGACACCCAAGTTATGTACAGCTGACTGACAGTCTGGCAATTCAACCTTATATCTGGTGGAACAACTGAATTTATGTTGTAACTCAGAAGTGCACTGTGCACTGCTGAATACAGCTTTTGCTCAGAATGAGAACTGGATGGACCATTGACAATGTGCAACAAATTAATTGTTATTGGCCTGACCAGCTGCCAAGTGTATTATATCTTGGAGTTGGGTTGTGGTTGATATTTAGCCAGAGTGTTGGGTATGTTCCAGACGTTGGTGTTATCAAACAATGCTCATCATTTGCTCCAGATTCAAGGGTATATAGGTGACCTTACTAATGTTTTTGAATTACCTTCTAGAAATTGTTAAAATCTTGGTAAAAACATTTACACCCAGGTAATGGTTTAGACCATCCAAAATATAAATTCTACTACAGTACAAAATGAAATGACCCCAAAGTTATATGTTTTACCATATAAAGACGCTCCTCTACTTACGAATGAATTATGGTCCGAACGGCCGTTCGTAACTTGAAATGTTCGTAAGATGTTATTCAACATCATTTTAAGGGTATACGCAAGTACAAAGAACTGGAATGCTGGGAGTACGCACGCTACGCTGCTGCGCGACGGGAGTAGCGGCCAGAAGTCGTACTAGGCGGAATTGGCACACAGAAAAAAAAATTATGTTGCGGACAGGAAATGGGAGCCCCAAGAACACAATTTGGACATGCAGTCCTCTTCATTCGTATGTCTGAAAGTTTGTAAGTTGAAAGTTTGTAAGTAGAGGAGTGTCTATACTTCAAAAAATGTATCTGTGAATACAGCTTTCCTAAATGTTTGGGGATACATATTTCCGTACGTGCAACCTACTGCTTCAACTGAACTGGAAAGGCAAGTTATTTGTTTTTTTCTTTTCAAATAAATATGGGTTCCACTGAGTCACACATATGCATTAATAAATAAAGAAGGTTTTCCATGCATTTGTGTGTCCAGTCTTATATAATGCTTAAGGTGGCTCACCTGGTTTTTATTCAGGTGAGGCTTTAAGTACAGCTTGGTGTTATTTACCATAAAATCCAGCTGAGAATTTTTTTAGATGTGCTTTAAGGTTTACTTTCCTGATTTTAAATTAAGATAATTATAATTGGTGTAAAATAAAATGCATGTAGTATGTATGTAAAAAAAATTGTAATCAAAACAAGATTTGTTACAGTGGTTCAGAATTAGGCCTGTTTAGGTCACCCACGGGTACATATCATGCAAATGGCTTCACCTTTGCTCTTAAGCCTGGTGTTGGCAGTATCATGACATGGTCAATGATTGTCTTTAGCAGGAACTGAAATATATCATGATGGAAGGGAAGGAGGGTGATGCAGAAGCGAAGCCTGCTTCAGTCAGTGTATGGTAACAATCTTTCCTTATAAGGACTAGGCACCTTCCTCATGTTTTATAGTGATTGTCAGAGCCCTCCCAGTGTCACAGCTATTGGTCATCTGTTTGACATTGTTCGCTGCATTGTACTGGCTTAAGAAGCTAAGCAGTAAATATTAGCGAAAAATTATCTTGTTATGCTCTTTTATTGAAACTGCCACATGTATTTAGAACTAATAAGAATTTTTGTCCAGGAGATTTAGATGTAAATTTGTCCACTAATTGCCTTACTAAAATAAGTGGTAATACTTTACTCGAGGGGACACGAATAACTTAGCTACTCGATACTACTCAAGAACAAATCATGAACTAATATAGTTCTTGCATGAAATACATGAACCGTCATGACTGATTACTGATGAATGAACATTGGATTGGTGCATAACTAACACTTAGTTACTGGTTAATTAATGATTTAAGTAAGCATGTACTACTACATTATTTGTGCCCCCTCAAGTAAAGAGTTACCAAATAAGCTTAATTAATAACAATAATTCTTAATGTTTTATTGACTATATTTCACTTCCCCAGATGTGTTTTATTTTAATAATGTATTAACTTATCCCTGCTAAAAGAAGCAAATAGTTAGAAAATGTCATAAGGTTATTAGCTGATGACAAGAAAGACGTTGCTGTTGCAGTTGCTTTTGTTAGAATCTGGGCATCCGGAGTCATGACGTCACAGGCCTGTGGTACTTGAAGGTGGGATGTGCAGGGGCACTGCTACTCTGAGTAGAAGCAATAAAACCCACAAACCTCCAAAGAGAAACACAAAGTATACACACCATAACAGTACCAAGATAGCAATGTTAAAACACTCATAACCGTATGGTTCATATGGTTATGAGTGCAGTTGCATAGAGGAGTGGTTCACTAATTAAATGTGTTTTATAAAAAGTAGTGAAACACACTGCAATAAATTTTCCTTCGAAAGGCAAATAATGGCCTTCATCTCTTCTTCACCTTCATTACAGTTTTTTTATGGAGAGGGTTGCTTTTTCTAAGGGACAAGCCACCTGGCAGATGTCATTCCTCCAGAACATCCTGGGTCGGCTCAGCCTATAGCACCTAAGTTAGCTCATCTCTGTTTGAAGTAGCAGTATCCCTATTCTGAAGTCCCTTCACATTTCCGCACTCCTCCCCAAGTTGTGGAGAGTGGGCGCCCCTGCAGAGAAACCCCATTTCAGCCACTTGTCCTTGTGACCTTGCTCTGTTGATATGTACGATCAGGTTTCCCAATGTTTAACTAAAACCGTAAAGTGTTTCTGTGATTTCTCCACTTCCTCGTCGGTATGAGAATAGCACTCACTGCAGATGACAGGAACAGGTGATTTATTAACAGGAGCACGCTGTAACCGTCTTCCTGATGTCTTCAGGTCACCATGCCAATAGAGCGGATGCGAATGCGACCGTGGCTGGAAGAGCAGATAAACTCAAGTAAAGTACCAGGGCTTAAGTGGGTTAACAGGGTGAGTATATTCACACATACCATGGCACTGCTCAGTTATCAACCCGGATTGGTTGGTTTGTATAACTGCAGACGTAGTGCAGGTCAGGTAGTGCTTTGCCTCCCCAGCCATGCATTTATAAATGTATGATGCCTGTCTTGTCATGTCTTAACCCTTACTTAATGTATTCTAAGCTTTCGTGTTATTTGTTTCTGTTGCAGTTCTTAAAAATGCCTTAAAAATTGTTTGAAAAATATTGCACCAGTCTAGGTGCCACTTTATCTGAAAACACAGTTGTCCACATACCTGTAATACTTTAAAAACTGCCTTTTGATTGCAGAATTAGAATTAGAATTAGTATTAGATTAACTTTATTGACCCCAGGGTGAAATTCTTGTGCATGTAAAAATCAGATGCTCATCAACTTTCAATGGGGCTACATTCCAATAAACCCATCATAAGTTGAAAATATCGTAAGTCGAATATGAATTTGCCACGGTAAATAAATAAGTAACAGTACAATATATTGTTAAACATTGCATGAAATGTTACACTTGCACACTTGTGATCTCTACAGAGACTGGAAGCTTGGCTGGGTGGATGCCGCTGTCACCCGGCATTAGCAGAAAGTATCATACGGCACTATCAACAAAGTATCAAAGTGCAGGATGCACTTTAGGCTCTGGCCAGGTTTACTGGGGGTGTAAATGAACAGAGCACATCAGTTCAAACCAGAATACGTTAGCAAGGCTCACACAGACCACCCCTGATTCCTCCCAAATTGGCCACCCTTTTTTATATAAAAAATAGGTAATATATACGAGTCCTGTAACTGCCAACTCATTGTTCTCTAGACCTATTTTCATTTGTATACTGTATATTTGTATATTTTCATAGAAGTTCTCAGAAGAACGCTAATGCTACCGATAATGTTATGATAACTGCTGAAATCTTTTCGAGTATGGAGTGCATAGCATTAAACAGGCAGTTTAATACTTTACCTTGCATAGTAATCCTTCTTCACTGAAATATGTAAATGTATTCATTTCATTTAGTTATTGGTTACTTTTGTGACTTTTTGTCTGTATGTAACTACTATTAAATTGGCCTAGACTCAGCTTCTTCGCTTCCTGTGTGCAAAAACTCTGTGATGAAATGAGTTTTGCCAGTTTTCGTTTTCTTTTTACCTGCTTCTGTATTATGTTGTGCTTTTCTTTGGTACCAACAAAATTATCACTATGTCACAGCTTTCTATGTATTAAATTTTTATGTATTTTTTTTTATGACGAAGGAAAATCCGTACAACAAACTTTATGTATATAGTCCGATGTTTACTTAGGAAAGAAACAGTGCAGCTGTCTGCTCTTGGTTTTCTATATGAAAGTACGTGCAGTATATTTTGGTGGCAGGGTGGTAGATCAGTGACAGTCCTTGCCTGTGTGTTTCATCTCCAGGAGAAGAAGATCTTCCAGATCCCATGGATGCATGCAGCCCGCCATGGCTGGGATATGGAGAAAGATGCTCCATTATTCAGAAACTGGGCCATTCACACAGGTATTGGGAAAACACAGAATGGGCAATGGGATTGTGTCAATGGAGAGAGGAAAGGGTCAATGGCATGTCATAACATTCTGTTAGTTACGATTTTGTACTAGATGTAACAAAGGTTGACCAAAGGTTGTGCATCTCATGTGCTCCACAGTCACTAATTAAATGGTATGATGCCAGTGTAGCTAAAAGTTACCCCCAAGGTGGATGAACAAAGGATGAACTTCCTTTTGTATCAGGGTACGGTGGAGCTCTTGAAGCTGATTTATTTGGTTGACTATTGTTTATAAATGTCCTCCTACTTTGTTTAGGGAAATATCAGCCAGGGGTGGACAAGGCAGACCCAAAAACTTGGAAAGCCAATTTTCGCTGTGCCATGAACTCCCTTCCCGACATTGAAGAGGTTAAGGACAAGAGCATTAAAAAAGGAACCAATGCATTCAGGGTGTACAAGATGCTGATGCCAACAGAGCGACGGACGAAGAAAGGTCAGTCAGTGACCTGCATCCCAGGGCATCTGCAGTATACAGAATGGTTAAATGAGAAAACTCTTATTTTGATATCATGGAAATGGATACTTCAGCCTTCAGTTTTAATGCTGGTTAAGTATCATTCCATGGCACCTGCTTGGTTCCAGTTCCAGAATGTGCAGGGTTTCTGTTACTAGGGAAATGTTAGAGATTACATCAGCATTCACTATGACAACAGAGGATGGGCTCGTTACACAGCGTTGGAACAAAATCTCTGTCGGTATTCCCCCCACCTTTGCTCTGGGCCACTGGGTGTCAAGCGTTTGATTGCAAATGATACTGTTCACACCTTTGTCCTATCTAATAGTATCGCTGCCTTGCGGTTGAAGTAAATCACTAGGCTGTGTTGCTTGCAGCATTTACGGATGCTTGTCATAGCCAAAAAAAAGTGGATTTTTAAGGCAATGCATATGCAAACATCCCATTTGAAATAATGCAAACATTTGCTTTGCACCAGCAAATTTAAATGCTGAATATGTTCACAGAGAGCCAGACTGGAGGACAGGAAGTGGTGTCAGATTTTAAACTTGCTTGAACTTCTTAAGCAACCACTTCAAATTTAAACTGTCCCTCCCTCGAAAAGGTTTTCATTAGCTCTGATGAAACAGGTGTTTCTCGTTATAGAATCCTCCGCAAGTCAAAGCTATATCACTTTGAGTTGAACTCTCCTAGCTTTTAATAAAGGTATAATATGCACTGATTTAATCACACGTCCATCCTTCATCATTTCTGTAAGATTTATCTTAGCCGGGCCAAGTGTGGTGTGTAACATGCTCATACAGAGGATGACACAGCTGGAAACTGGAAAACAATACTTTAATAAAACAAACAGCTTTTGTTGTGTTGCAACAGAGGTGACTGAAATGTTATTTGTTTGTGTATGACCAGTCCTCAAACAAACAAACTTTCTTCTACTGCTAGAACCAAGCTTGAACTTTTATTTCCTTTTTGCAGGTAAAAAAAGGACTGAAAAAGAAGAAAAAATAAAGGTATTTCAGGATTCTTGAGATATTCTAGATTTCATGCTTTTGTTATCTATGTAATTTAGGAAATGACAGCTGTGGAGCTGACAGAATGTTTTGCTGTTGGGTCATACGCATTTCACAAGCGCTTATAAGTCACCAGTAGCATAATAACATTTTACAGTATGTGCTTAGGGGTCTTTTATACAGCAAAGCTTTACTAATGCAAAGGAGTCTTTCATACATAACATCTAATAACCCAGAAATACAATTTTTTATGAATTGCATAGAGAGGTTAGTATAGTTTCCATTGTGTAGGGTGTAATAGAATGTATTTTTTCACAAAATGCAGTTGAGCAATTCAAAATAGCAGAATGTTTTATGATCTACCTCGTTTTTTTGGAACTCAAGCAACTAATCAAATACGATTTAAACTGCTAACAGTTATAATGACCAGTGTTTCCCAACCCAGTTGGTGAGGGCCCCAAGACGGTCTACATATTTGATCTCTTCCAGTTCCCAGCACACCTGTACCAGTCACTCTGTGTTCTTGATTGGCTGGGAGCTGTAAGGGAGCAAAAATGTGGACCATCTCGGGGTTCTCAATGACTGGTTTGGGAAACACTGATATAGACCACCGGGTGGAGCAGGAAAGGGGATCGGCAGTCATTTGATGGACAACATCATCACAAGGAACCCCTTAGTGATATCTGTAAGAGAACTGAGATTTGCTACTCAGGTGAAGTTTCCAACCCCAGCGCCAACTCTGTTTTCAGACAGGGTGCCGGTCCATGTGGGGAGAACAAATGAGCAGCGCACATATGTTCTCCTTAGCAGTCAAGGCCGACAACATGCAGGACAGCCTGGCCCTGACAGGTAACCGCCACCAGCACCTCTCCCTGCTCCCCTCTCTCTGCGATTACAAGTCCCGATGTTCATCAGAAGCAATGTTGTCTGCAGGATTCCCATACAGAATTCCCACCTATCTCATGAGCAGCTTTATACAATCATTCTAGATCAGTAGTTCTTGACTCACTCTTCAGGCCCCACAGGCCAATCCGCATTTTTTGTTCTGTTCCACTACCTACACACCTTATTTTAGTTGTCAAGGATTTATAACGCCCTTGAATACCTGGTTTGGGCATGCAGAAAGAGGACAAAACAAAATGCCTGGGGGTGCCAAGAGTAATGCACAAGGAAGTGGCAGAAGGTGGCCTTCTTTTTCTGTTATCCTAGCTGCATGCTGCATAACACGCTAACATTAATGTCATGACTGCTGAGGCTCCTGCTGGCGTTTCATGACCTTAACTCTCACCGACTCTGCAGACCGCACCTATCATGCGTCTCATAGCCTGGAGGAAGAGCAGATGACTGTCGGCGACCTGCCGGATGTCTGCCAGACCATCGAGGTGACAGCTGAAGAGGAGGATCAGTCTGTTAGCTCCAGTCAAATGTACCCCCTGCAGATCTCTCCAGTGTCCTCCTGTGCAGGTTCGTGGCTGATGTTCGGGGATGGTCTGTCTCTTTACCATTCCTCTCTGCGCATGCAGCTTGGCTTTAGTTCAGGTAACCAAAAACATTATAGGCTACTTAATTATTCACTGGGAAGCAGCTATCCCAGGGAATCATCACCATGCCATTGGATAAGAACCATGCAAACTACAGTAAATGCCCAGTGGAAAAGGGATTGGACGAAAGATGGATAGATGGATGGTTCTTTGTTTCTCATTAATGAAGGACCTCATGCTTGCTTTATGGGACTTCAATCCTGCTTCTAGGAGCCTGATATGAACTGTCCTAGCAGTGCACTTCACACCTGCACTTAATGTTTCCCGTTCTTTCTGAAGGTCACTTGATGTCATCCTACGATTCATGAGAAACTGTCGGATAAGTTAATGGTCACCTCTGCCATTACCTGGCTGGTCTGCAGGATTCCCATACAGAATTCCCTGTGTCTCCTGCTTCACCTTATTGTTGTGTGCTGCTGTCTTAGAGATATTGAGCCTGGAAGCAGGCTGCCGTGCAGCCAGGGTTAAACCAGGATTTAAAAAAGCATATTAAAAAAAAAACATGGAGTGATCTCGTAATTTTTTTCCAGAGCTATATATGCTAAAACAATAAAAAAAAATTAAGTTCCTTTTGGAGAAAAGCACTGTACTTTCTAACCCAATTACTGTATTTACAACTGAAGTTGCAGCTCAGGGTAAATGACTGATGAGCAAATATTGGCTTTTCTTTTGAAAATTCTCCAGAAGGATGATGATGGTGTTACGATTAACAGTCCTACACAACTATTGCTTGCTGCTAATTCACCTGAAAGTTTGTGTAAGTTAACAGTGATACTGTCAAATCATCCATAGCTTGTGGGTTCACCTAACTCTCATACAATCATTTAAAAATATACTTCTTGCCATTTTATTTTATCTTATTTAAAAGGTGGTAAAGGTGGCTGCTTATTACACAAAAAATTCACTACTATGCATTTACATGATTTTGCTTATGAAACACAATAGTAGAAATCTAACCTATATGTCAGAAAATGTACTGACCATTTTTCCTTCTCATTTCCTTGACAGATAGTGAAATTGATAGTGAAGTGGACACCAAGGAGGTGTGTTTCCATTTTTTTTTCTTTTTAAACATTTTACAGAATTATGTCTGACGTATTATCATTTTCACTTTATCAATTTTAAATATTTGGTTTAAAATGTAGAGTGTTCCCGTTTGCACATTTCTAAGCACGTTAAAGGTGTCTGTATTTTTGTAGCTGGCTCCGAGAGACTGTGATCTGATCAGGCAGTGTTGAGGACAGCCCGTCTATGATCTGATCAGGCAGTGTTGAGGACAGCCCCTCTGTGAGTCAAGCAGTAACAGTGCCTTTCTGGTGTATTCCGCAGGGCGTGTGTGGAATGTGGGTTGACGCAAAGCCTCTGTTCAGCACCTCCGAAGTGAAGGCGCCCACCTGTTCGTTGCCCAGCATGGCTACCTTTGTCACATCTGGGAAGTCTAACTTGTCTAAGGTGTCCAGCAGTGGAGAAGAGCCCCTCCTCATTTCATATGGCTACACTCCCTGGAACAGTCAGCCAGTGCAAGTGGTGCCGTTCCCCACCACCTCCAGCAGCTCCTCTGTCTCTGAGGCACGAGCCAGTGTCATCATGAAGACCTCCGACATCTCCAAGACCACGGTCAAGACCTGCTGATTTGGCTCTGGAACCAAAGCAAGATGGACTTGGTTGGGCTGACTGACCTCAGAGGTGAAATACACTGGAGTGATATTCTCAAGAACCAACTGGACCAAAGGACTTCACTGTGTTTCCACTGCGCCTGGGAGCCTGCTGGATATAAGAGCCCCATCTCAACCAGAAAAGATTTCTGAGTTTGTGAGCAGCATCACAAAACAGCCTAGTTTTGTGACGAAGACCACTCCCTCCCTCGAAAAAGTTTTCAGTTGCTCTGATGAAACATGATCACCTATTATTTGTATCACACTGTATTGCTCCTCTCGTCTGTGGCCTTAAACACAGCTATACAGTACAGATGAAGCTCTTTGGATTGTTTGTTAAAGACCACATCATTCGCTGTCCTGCACCACACCATCAAGTAATAAATCACTGTGCCTGTGATTGTTTTTTTCTACCGCATTGTGAGGTCTTTTGTAGACAGTCGGATGTTACTGGAGGAACGTTGCCCTGAAGGTTCGGAAGAAGCCTCTGTCAGCTCATTGAAAGGCGAGTTACTTGTAATGCTTCTATGAAAAAAAGTAATTTAATGTTCTGGGAAGCTACAGGTTTAAACTAAACCTCTCAACGTTTTCCTGGCCATACTTTAGTGGTTTGTAATGCAGGGATTAATGTAGCATTTAATGTAATTGATTTGAAAAATATTTTTTCAGGTTTTATAAATTTTTCCATCGTTTTTGCAGTAACTTATACCTGAGGTGGGACATCTGTACTGTATATATGAGTATATGCATTTATGTATGTGTGTGTATATATATAAATAGTTTTATAAATGTGTCTTAGGAAACATTATTAATCCTGTGGATGATTAAATATGCAAATTTATTATAGTTTTGTGTGGAGTTCTTTTTTTTCTTGTAGGGTGACTTGGTTGGGGGTTTAGGCCTGCATACATTTGACCTAGTCTAGCTATAAATCTGGTTAGACCCTGTCAAAATAACAAATATTTAAAGAAATACAAGCAAATCTAAACTGTACACGCACAGAGCCGGGGCAGAGACTCACAGCCTGCTGTGTGAGTAAGCCCTGCAGTGGGAAAGCGCCCCATCCTGAGTTATTCCCTGCCTTGTGCCCCTAACTTCCGGAATTGGCTCTGGACGCCCGCGACCCTGCATAGGGTAGGCAGGGTTAAAAAATGGACGGACGGATAAGCAAATGTTATAAATTCTTTTTAAGCTCAATAATCCTGTCATTTACTAACCTGATTGTTCTTTGAATGCTCTTGTGTTGTACTTATTATGTTCCTTCTTTTTTAATAGTTAATGTGTAGTTGTGTACCTGTTAGGTAGCTTCTGTTCCAGTACTGCATACAGTTGTACCTGGATATTCACTGGAAGCTCAGCTTAGCTGCACTCATGCCTCATTGACTCCTTGACAGCATACTGTAAGTGTTTGCAATGTGCTGTTTGCCTCTCTTCTACATCACGTTGGAAAAAAGCATCTACTAAATATGTAAATGTAAGTCCAAAATGTGTGATCCATAACACGAAAACTCCTGAACCATTAATATATACATGAAATATATGGAGACATTCATTATGATATTTTTTGGGTGGAAGAAATTACATATTTTATGAATGCTGCCACTTCGGAGAGCAAAGAATCAGTGAAGCATTTGAATGTGTGCAAAATCATCCACATCTGATATTATCAGCCTGTTCACTCGCACCATGATTGAAATCAACTTGATTTTCAGAGAGGAGGATCGCCAGTTGTCAAAACTTGGAAAATAGCAGATGCATTACCACAGTGATGCAATTAGACAATACATCACAATGTTTTCATGATTTAAAGATTCATTAATTGACAGCTACTGAAGATTTCAGGAGCTGAAGTGCCCTGTCTGTGGATGATTTCATAAAAGCTGGACCACATCATTACTATACTGTCATTCATTTCTCACCAGTATGTATAAAATTGTTATCTCATTTGAGCTTCCTTCCTCTGGCCCCAGGTTCACTGGAAACCTTAACAGGATAAGTCTTTGTCAAAAATGGATGGATGGATGGACGGACGGACGGACGGATCAATGGATGGATGCTCTAAAACTAGATTGCATACTGCGTTGTTTGGGAAATTTTACAGTGTTTTTTTTGTAATAAAGCCATACATTTGACTCTATTCTTACTAAGGTTTATTTTTAAAACTCTATAACCATTTTGTGGAGAAGAAAAAAACATGTACGGCAAACTGAAACTAAAAGGGAGAAACAACCACTGAAAATGAAAAGCAGAAATGAAACTTCACCCCTATGTGGTGACTAGAACAGTTTCAAACTTCTCATAGTGCACTTAAAACGTTTTACAGCAAAAGAAATTGGATTTCAGCCTGGTTAAACTGTTTTTTGCACAGTCCATATTGACCAATTACACAATATATATATGTGTGTGTGTGTTTATATGTGTGTGTGTGTTTCTGCAGCACTTTCAATGGGTTCTGCAAGTTTGACTTTTCGCCTTGGAGATTAACTTGCCAGTGAAGATTTCCACAGATAATGTGTAACAGTGCTCCACGGGAAGCAGTTAACAGCAATTTACCTACAGGCAGTTGCTGTATCAGATAAACTGTCATTTACCAGAGCTTTTCACCTCAGGTGCAGAATATGACCTTGTGACAGACACATCATGGAAGGTGTCACATGCTGCTATAGGTGGTCCAGTCACTTTATAAACAGTTTTGGCATTGGCTCTGAAATTGTGGCCTAAACAATTTGATCGATAAAGTTTGAGCCGCATTTGTGGGAACATATTGTGTTACGAGAAATTAGGAGATTCCTGGGCTGCACAACATTTTCATTCAGGCATCAGACACTGAAACGTTTGCCTCAACGCAGACACCAAGCAAACAAGGTAGCTTTGCTTTTCACTCACCACATGCCTTATGAACACCTGAAGCACAGGCAGTTGTGCCCTTGGTGACTGAACAGTGGGCTGCTGAGAAACAGTGTTACGTTAATGGGGCTGAAGCCCCGCCCCTCTCTCCCGGCTTTTGAGCTTCAGCTTCTGACAGTTTGGCTCCTCCCTCCCGATGACAGGGCTACGACAGCGATGACGCCACAGCAAAGCTACGGTTGCTCCGACCTGCACGAGCGAAATACGAAAGCCTCCTTTGGTTACAAAAGCGAGGCTTTGCTAAACGCCTATTCATTTAAAATTAATTTCCCTTCTCTCCTGGCATTCTCAATAAAAGTGAAAAATGAGACCAAAACACACATACATACATAGCACGTATGTGTATATTTGTACGTAACGTGCAAAAAAAAATAAAAAATTATTTTAACTAAATGAACACTCTAGATGCAGCCATAATGGAGAGTCATATTATGTTGAATGCCAATTAACATAATGTGTCAGCTATAATAGTGATCTGACAGTGAACACTTTGAAATGTGAGTTTTCAAAGCAATGTGAGACAATGCACAGCTCTAAAAAGGCCAAAGAATTAGTGGTAAAACTAGTTGCATTAGTCCCGAAAAGCGGAAATCTATTTAATGTGTCATAGAATAGTCTCAAAGATCATGACAGAGCATGCCGTAGACAGACAAAATTAAATGTGAGAGGAACAGGGGTTATGAACTTCAACGAGAGACCGACACAGGATAGTTGCTAAAAACCACCTCCAAAATTTCCAAGGAACTGATTCAGCAACCTAGTCTCAACAAGTTTTGCATCCTATGAGATTAAAAAAAAAAGCCTGAAATTTGTGGAAGGGCCCATAAGAGGCTAATTTTATCCAAGATCAATGCAGAAAAACGCATAACAATGTCTAGGGATACTAAAACTAAGACCTTAACCCAAAACTCCTATTGTATACACTGCCTGGCCAAAAAAAAAGTCGCCATTTGAATTTTTCACTGGACCGCCTTTAGCTTTGAATATGGTGCATATTTGTCATAGCATTGTTTCCACAGGCTTAAGCAACATCTCACCCTTTATTTTAATCCATATTTGCATTAATTTGTAACCGAGATACTGTATTCACAAGTGAGTTGAACCACTCTGTAAAGCCTCCTTCAGCACATCCCAAAGACCTTCAATGAGGTTAAAGTCACAACTCTGTGGTGGCCAAGTCATGCGTGAAAATGATTCCTCATGCTCCCTGAACCACTCTTTGACAATTCAAACCCAATGAATCTTGGCATTCTTGTCCTGGAATATGCCCATGCCAACAGGGAAGAAAAAAATCCATTGATGATGGATGGAGGTGTAACCTGGCCATTCAGTAGATTCAGGTACTCAGCTGACTTTACTTTATTGCTGCATAACGTAGCTGAGCTGTAATAATGATCCAGTCATTGGCTCTTAAGTATTTGCTGATATAAATTCAAATGGTGACGTTTTTTTTGGCCGGGCAGTGTATCTAGCTGTGGATCTGTATTGCTGTGGGCACCCTTCTCATGGAAGTCATTAGGACCACTCTGCAAGGTCATATAATTGCCAAAGAATTTGAGGCCATTTTACTGGACCCTGTCATGCCTTTCCCACATGATGTCCCCATATTCTATGATGATACTGCCCCCATACACACTCCCTGAAGTTCAGCAGCTGGGTGAATGTGGCATGGTCCATCCTGAGCACTGTACAGGTATGGACAGAAATGACACAGCTCACCACTGCCAGCACCTCCCGGCAAGTGGCACAACAGTGTCACTTAGCCGTGCTGAGCTGGCGGCTGTAGCAGGGTAACATCCTCCAGTGTCTGAATCAGTATGTAAATGGAAGTCCTTGCAGTGTCATGGAGATCAACACTGGTATAACTGTTGGGGCTTCACATAGTTGCTGGAAGGTTCTCTCTCACTCCGGTGATCACTGGAACTGTATTGTGGGAAGGTGATGAAGGGGGGCAGTGATGTCAGTGAATCCCTTAACAAACCAGCAGTGGCCAAGCCCAGGAAGCTCTGGATGTGATTTTTTTTTATACAGTCAACTTCTGGATCTTGTCAGGATCTGATGCAATGGTGTTAGTGTTAACTACATGCCCCAGGAACTTGACCAGTTGCTTAAAGAGATGGCGCATAGCTCAGCTTCAGTTCTGTTGATCAGATGGTGAAGGCCTCCTGTGGATTATCCCGTGCAGCTTTGAAGCCAGTGCTTCACAGTAAATACCAGAGAGCAGCCTGGCACTCCAAAGTAGCAGGGGTGTTGCACAGTCTAAACGGCATCATATGGAACTGCCACAGACCCTGTCCCAATGTTACTGTATCTCCTCTTTGGCCCCTCTGAAGTAAATGCCACCTTATGATAGTCAGGATACAGATTAAGGGAGTTGGCAATGATCTCAAGGGAATTGGGAAAGGGTCAGCCTTGGTTATAGCAATCATGTGGTAGTAGTCAACAAACAAACCACCAGCTGGGTTCCTGCTTCCTCACTAGAGCAGCCAACACCACCCATGTGCTATTCATTATCTCTACAACACCTGCTGCTTCCATCTCCCTGGTTTTCTCCTCCTGCTGTTGATATGGCGCTATACAAGGTTTGTGTTCTGTGCAGTCCTCATCCTGCACAGCAAAAATGTCCAGGTATGACTCCAAGAGCTCTGGGAACCTGTCCTGTTCCGGATCACTGAGTCTCAGCTTCTCTTGTCATGCCACCTTGTACATTCTCCACTAAGCGGCTGCTATCCAGTGCATAGGACTCCACCCCCACTGATGCATCTGCAGCCATCCTGGACTTTCTCATTACAAGGAAGCTGGGAGACAGGAGGAGATTTAGTATTTAGTGTTCAGTGCTTTTAATACTTTATCAGATGAAGGGAGACTCAGCATGTGCAGCCAAGGTGCCCCACAAAGTATCTCAAAAGTTCAGAGTTCTTGAGCTTCCTTTCATACCT